GCCCCCCCCCCCCCCCCCAAAAAAAAAAACCCTCCCCCCCCCACCCAAACCATAACCCCCATCAATCCGACCAGTGCGCCGCAGCGCCTACGGCATTTAATCCCCAAGCTCGCGCGGACAATTGTACGACGTAGGGGATTGAGTACGGATAACGGCCAGTAGAGGCGCTCTAGTTCGCCTTTGGTACGCGGCAACTTCCGAGTTGCGCCGATATTTCCGACTCGATCGCACTGAAATCATTGGGAGTTACTCACGGGGATGGGAGCGATTCGAATCGATGGCTCATAAATACCTCTGGTGCAATTATTATAACGAATTACAACGCTGTTGGCTTTGTGACGCTATTATGTAGGGTCGCGGAGAATGGAATTAGCCCGTTTTCGATTAATAGACGCGTCTGTGCATTTGTCTTCGCGCACTTACTGGACGTGGGTGGGAATGTTGGTGCAAAGTCTGATCACGTTGATAACTTCGTGTCTTATATGAGGAGAATTTCGCGATAATTGTAAACCATAACACATCGCATACAGTCGTGTTCAACAATTTTCGAAAAAGAGTCATTGCAATAATCGTATAAATTAACGTGGTCTCTTGCTTACAATACGATGAGCGACAAAAGTGTCTTTCATTTGAATATTTTCATTGAGCTTAGTGCCTAGTGATAATTCGTTGGCCGAAAGAATCGTCTCAGCCTTTAAATCCTTTAACAGGGTTCACGCGCGGATGTGAAGTATCTTCCTCAGACTTTGTTCGTTGATTCGAGCGGCGTGAATGATGAAACGCAACACGTAACGATTGCGCACGCATTGCCATTAGAAAAACTCGTTTAGTTAAAGAAAATATCTTTCGTAATGTATAAACGAGGCACTGTACTATATTATGCATTTATAACACATTCGGATCGCGGGGATTATCAAAGCCGGTACAAAACGTGTTGTTCTTCTTTAAAAAAAAAATATCGTATAATTTTCAATTTTTTTTATTGCAATATGTCAATATTTACCATTGTCGTACAATTCAACTATAAATCTGTTAAGATTTCTATTAAGATTTTGTCGACAAATTAAAAGATAATCATTTAGTATTCTCAATGCACAACTACCATGTCGAGCTTCTTGGGCGGAATTTATTATAAATAGGAGTCTGAATGAGAGGGATATGTAAAAATCTTCAAACTATTGTGATATTAAATTGTATTATCAAACATGATAATACAATGCTAAACCCAATAATTTGTAAAGGATGAAATTCGCTTTCATCGCGCTCTATGTACGAGCCCAAAAATTACGTAATGTATCAAAATAGATATTCTCTAATTATATTCTAATTTTATTTTACGTAAGTCACTATGCTACTTTATGCCTATTTCATTCATGAAACACAATTCGTATAAAAATTGTCTATTTAATCGATATAAAATTAAAGATTAAAAAATTTGAATTCAAAACTTAATATTAGCCTTAAAAAGACAATTTCGTGTTTGTGAACAGATAGTTGTGAATTGCAATAATAAAGGATTAAAACGGCTCGTTCGACGTTATCTTTTTCGCTTGAAAATTCTTATCTACTTGAGCTGTAATTTTCAATTTAAGAATTTTTCCTACATTAGAATGACACAATCCCGAAGAAAAATAAATAATTTAGAATGAAAATCATACGAACTGTTTTCTATTTTCCGCAATATTAATACATTTTAGGTTTATTACTTGACTTTTGATATGCATGTTAAAAATATTGACAATTACAATTTGATATTTTCTTATTATTATCCTTCATTACTTTGCATTGCAAATAAAATATCTTATACATTCTAATTGTCCAACAAGTAATGAAAACATTGCCTTTCTATAAAAGCTGATTAATAGCGAAACCTAATATTATGTCCATTTTATTTAATAACCATTTCAATTTTAATGTTATCTGGTCTGAGAAAGAGACAAACAGATATTTTTCATTAAATATTAGAAATCAATAAACATTTAATGAATTCTATTAATAATGGTCATACAGCATCCGTGGTACGTTTTAAAACTTTTATCTTATACTGAAATATAATTTATTTAAAAAAAAAAAAAAAAAAAAAAAAAAAAAAAAAAAAAAAAAAAATACATTGATTGATTCGGATGTGCGTGTGTGTGTAATTATTTAAAGTATATAGTAAAATTATAAAATTATAAAAAATTAAAGGCAATATTTTTACAACTGTATTATTAAAAAAAAAGTTACCTTAAGGAAATTATAATTTTGATATTTACCTTGCTTATTAAAAATAAACATGCACGTATGAAATAAATTTTTTATAATTATTTAAAAATTTAGACGTTAACGGTAATCGAGCGTTCAACATTCAGACGATCCATTCGATAATTACGTGTCAGCTAATAATTTTCAACACGATACATATGCATTGAGCTTCAACGTCGAACTTTCTTATTATGAATGTTGCAATTTTCCGACGATAAATAATATTTCTATAAATAATATCAGATGTCAATAATAATTTCGTGTTTAGATTACTAATCTAATGAAATCCTTCGGCTCTTAACAGAATGAATGACGAAAATTATACCTCGTGACAATTATATACGTAAAATGAACAAGTAACAGCAAAACATTTTCTCGGCATTTAATCGAAAAAATATTTCCTTGAATTCAATAATATATTCTTCTCATGCAATTTTATTCAGGATAGTAGAACTATCTATATCTTTGTTTTCACAGAGTTCAATGTCTTCTAAAGTTCTTATCATCGTGTTATCTTATTTCGAAGAGAAAGAAAGCACCATACTTATCTATTTCGAAAACTCTTACGATTAAATATATAACAAATTCATCGATGTATCACAGCCTCGTAGCTTCGTATCCAATGGCAATTCGTTATCGCTTAATATTTACTACTCTTAAAAGGGAATCGGCAGGATAATAATAAGGCACATTAATTTGCTCGCAGGGAGAAGCAATGGTCGAATCTCTCGCTCGTATAAAAAATCGATCGTTAGGAAGATGAACTATTCAGGGGATGGAAAATTTTATTTCCCATCCTGCCAAGGGTCAACGACGAGACTATTCCCGCTAGGAAGTAACGCACACCTGTAGCCAAGGATTTTCCCAATGTAAGTAGTAAATACGTGCCTAATAGTATCGGCGTAATGTGTCCCCAAGCCGACCGCGGACATCCCCGCGGCCTCTTTTACCACAACTCACTCAACTAATGATAATTATCGCAGACTTGGCGTTAAAAGTGTAGCGGCAATGCAAAGCCTCAGATCCGCAGGAACGGATTCCCCTCCGCGGCTGCGAATTAAAAAAGCGCGCGCTCCCGAGGTGTCTTTCAAACTTTGCGCGGTCCGTGATGTGGCGCCACCTGGCGTCGAGCGACGGCAAGATGGCGCTTGTCTGTTTGCCGAGGGCTGTCCGCGACCAACGTAAATAATACGCGCGAAGGTGAAGGCGAAGGCGAAGAGGAGGAGGAAGTGGCGAGGCAGGAATTAGGACCGAGGACGAAAAAAGGCGCGACGCGTGGAGCGTGGCGAAGGCACGGTGAAGTTGTCGGCGATAATTGTTCGCAGCCCTCGATAACCCTGCTCTGTTATCGCAGGCCGTCTCGCTCGCACTCGCCTCGCTCGTATTGGCTCGCTTAGAGAGGCGCGCGAGGTGACCGCGCGAGGTCGACCTCGACCGACGACAGCCCAGGAGGGAATGCGGCCCCGCCGTGCATAGGACGACGGCCAGGTGATCGAGGAGACCCGACTCCTCCGTTTCCCCCTCGCCGCCACCAGCACCATAACCATAACCATAACCATAACCATAACCATAACCATCACCGTCACCGTCACCGTCACCGTCGCCACCCCCCCCCCTGACCATCCCGTCAGCCCAGTTCTCTGGCTCCCACTGTGAAGCGGTGCACTAGTGCGCGTACGCGTGTGTGTCGTGTCGTTGACTCGGTCGTCGTCAAGGGACAACTCTCTGGCAACCCTCGGTGACACTTCTTGGACCGTCCAGGGCTCTCCCGCGTCGGTCCCTACTTCATCAGCGGTCAGTGGAGCACCCCTAACGGCCACCGTCTAGGACGTCTCTCCGTCCCCCAGATCCGTCAGCATCGTCGTCGCCAACGTCGTTCTCTCCCTCCATCTCTCTCACTCGGGCGCGCACGCTCCCGCTCCCGCTCATACTCCCGCTCAGGCTCACGCTCAGGCTCGCGTTCACGATCTCGCTCTCGCTCTCGCTCTCGCTCTCGCTCTCCGTACCGAGCTCGTCTCTCCTCGAGCGCACCTGAGGAATGCGAGACTAATCGTTGTTAGCCGACACCAGCGGAAAGTTCCAACTCAGCGAGGAGGACTAGAGGAGGCGCCCTAGGTGACGTCTTTGGTGACGGCGAGCGCGAGGGTGCGAGAGCTGTGGAATCGGCAGTGGTCGCGTAGAGGTGCACAAGGAGGTCCGGAGAGACCCGTGACAGAAAGAAGCGCGAGAGAGAGAAAGAGAGAGAGAGAGAGAGAGAGAGAGACGACAGTGGCCAAGCGAGTCCGACCTCTTCTTGCCCCGTAGTGGGTCTTCCCAGGGCGGCCCGAAGCCTTAGGGATCTCCAACAAAGAGGGAAGGGGGTGGGTTGAGGACGGGGTCGGGCCAACGGACGACGCGCGGGTCATGACAAAGGCCAGGATCGAGTAGCGGGGGCGCGTGCGCGCTCCTCTTCGCACAGTGTGTTTGTTTTTTGTTTCCTATTCGGCTCCCTTGTTTCTTCGTCAAAAAAAAAAAAATATATATATATATATATATAAAATATAAAATAAAAAGACGGAATTGGCGAACGCCGCGGGGAGTCGAGAGCAGCGTGGCCGTTGTGCAGGGACGCGGTGCAGGGATTTCGGGAGGGTGCCGCCTCCTGACGCATGTGTCGCGCCGCGAGTAGCTCGTCAGCATCGTCGAGATCGTCGCCGACGGGGGCTGTTCGATGCCGCTGCCCGGGGCCGCCTGGGAGGAAGCAGCTAAAGCGTCGAGCGTACCGTAGCGGCGAAGGGGTTAGAGCAGCGACGTCGTTGTTGTCGTCCTCGGCCACGGAGATCCCGTGGGGCTTAAGCGAGCGCTGGGCCAGGAAGGCGCCGGAAGCTCGCGGGATTGAAGAAGCGTAGCGAAGAAGATGGCCTTCAACGAGGTACGTTATTTTTATTATTGTGTAGTTGTTCTTGTTGTGTCGTCGTCGTCGTCGTCGTCGTCGTCGTCGTCGTCGTCGTCGTCGTCGTCGCATTCATTATACGTAGTAGACGCGTTACCATTACCATAACCCTGTTCCCGTTTTCTACTTTCCACTATTTATTCCCGTTTGCTACTTTTTTTCTTTCATTTTTATTCGTTAAATTTTACTCCCTACCGTCCCTATCAATTCTTTAAACAAAAAAAAAAAAAAAAAAAAAAAAAAAAAAAAAAAAAAAAAAAAAAAACCCCCCCCCCCCCATTCGCCACCAATTCCTTGCATTATTTTGGCCCTCCTCTGCTTCTTACGTCAAAGAGGGCCGATCAGTGGATTTCCTCGTGGCTCTTATCTCCTCGACGTCGCCGTCTTCTTCGCTCGAGTCTTTCCTCCCATTACGGAGCTAACGCGTCGAGATGATGCCCGTGCGCGTTGCACACGGACCTAAATACTTTAGGTGCGTGTCTTTCGAAGGTTACGAGTGTCGCGTGGACCGCGCTGTGCAGCTTGGGACGGCAGACAAACCGCCTGGACGGCGATTACGCGGCTTGCCTGATAATCTTACGAAATGTCGCCGTTTTTACGTTTGTTTTATCATCGGGGCCCATTGTTTGGCTTGGCGATCTAGCGTGAAAGGAAAAATTGCAATTGCACATACGCGAGCAAGACCGATGTAATAATTATCGTTTCGCCCAACACCAATGATCCGAACGATCGGTTTCTTTTTTTTCCTTACGACCTTACGACCTCACGACCAATTCGTCTGCCAATATGTTTATAGTGCGCCACTGAAAAGCGCACTAAAATTAGCGGTGCCACTCGGGATGTGACGTTTGGAAATACCGAGCAAAAGCACAAGCATCATTAATTGAGTCGGCTCGAATAATGCCCATAATAAATCGTGAAATATTCGCTTAGTTGTTTATTTAAAAGCAAGATGAGACGTAAGAAGTAAGCAGAAGAAAGGATTAATTGCCTTTCTTTTGGACGGCGAAGGAAATATTCTTTCTAGATACATAACTAGTCGCTTATAGTTAAATAACTTGTCGGTCATTTTAATAATATCGATCGCTCTACGTCATAATAATAATAATAATAATAATAATAATAATAATAATAATAATAATAATAATAATAATAATAAGAATATAATAATAATGAAGAAGAAGAAGAAGAAGAAGAAGAAGAAGAAGAAGAAGAAGAAGAAGAAGAAGAAGAAGAAGAAGAAGAAGAAGAAGAAGAAGAAGAAGAAGAAGAAGAAGAAGAAGAAGAAGAAGAAGAATAAGAATAAGAATAAGAATAAGAATCAAAAAATTGAAGAAAAAAAAAAAAATCTCCAATGCAATCTTATTTTAAAAATAATTTAAAAATTGAAAGATAATATACGCGTGGAACTTGTGAGATGAAGCTGCGAATGAATTATAGAATGCAGTGCAGAAATATATGACGGACAATAGTTTCCACGGTGTTCTTTACATACACTTTAAGTAGCTCATTTTTACTCTGACGCTAATATAATAATAGTAAACTGCTATTTTAAAAGGTATCGATCACTTTTTCGCGTTCGACACGCTAATGAGCCCCGAGACCTCGAGTCTCTCGTATAAATTCCATTCCAGCCGTTAAAGTGAGCATGGATAACCTATCGCTACGTTAATTACGCAGTCCATATAAAAAATGATACAAATAAATAAACAAACAAACAAAGAAACAAACAAACAAGCAAAAAACAACAAATAAATCAATTAATAAATTAATAAATAAATAATGATTTTTTGTAAAGTTTATAGGCAGTTGGTTGATGACGAAATGATTGCGAATTTGTGTTTGAATTACGTTGATTGCACGATCGTCGATATCGCGGCTCCTCGGTGCACAAGATAATCGAAAACCATACGCCACAATTGACGTGTGTCTCATCAAACTTCTTTTCTTGTTTTGTAAGATGGCATTTACGTAAGCACGTCATTAGAGAAGTGGAAACTAATGCGCAAACGACGGGATTTCGCGCGAAACCTATCCGCGCAAACAATACAGTTAAGCATAATAATAATCGTAGCTAAGGTAAGGCCACCTTAGATTGTTTAATTAGGAGACATTAATTAGGAGACATTTAATTCGGAGACATTATTTAATTACGCAGATTATCCTGCCATAAATTGTAAAATATACTTTGATTCGTTCGAATCAAAATGACGAGATTTTCGAGATTTATTGAAATGTTAAATGACCAGATCAGACACCAACTACTACTATATAAAATGTTAAAATTGCCAATGTAAGAATAAAAATTAAAAAATTATCCCCCCCACTACCACTACCACTACCAGCTACCACTACCACTAACAACTACCACTACCAACTACCAACTACCAACTACCACTACCACTATCAACTACCGCTACCAACTACCACTAACAACTACCACTACCAACTACCAACTACCAACTACCACTACCACTATCAACTACCACTACCAACTACCACTAACAACTACCACTACCACTACCAACTACCACTACCAACTACCACTAACAACTACCACTACCAACTACCAACTACCACTACCACTATCAACTACCAACTACCACTACCACTACCACTACCAACTACCACTACCAACTACCACTACCACTACCAACTACCAACTACCACCCCCACTCCCCCATCCCCGTACGTAATGTAAATTTGAAATTTCATATCGAATGGTAAATGCTGGCTGTTAAAATTGTCTTTAACATTTTTAAGCCGTAAATAGATTGGCTTAGTGGCCTGGACTTGGTAAGCGGGTCACGTGTTATGCATTAAGCTTGTAACGACGGACGATAGCGGCACATGCAATTGATCGCGGATCTCCTGTAAATAACACTCATTACAAGGCGGTGCTAAATTCCGGGGCCCATAAAAAGTTGACCTCTCGTAGCAGCTGTTGTAGAAATACGCGGCTGCATTGGCTCAACTATAAATTAAAAGAAAAACAAAAACAAACAAACAAAAAGACAAACAAAGAAAGAATAAAAAAAAAAAAACAAAAAAAAATAAATATATAAATAAATAATATCGTCTACGGCTTTCGCGTGGCGCACGTCGTCTCTCGTCATTATTTAATGTACGTAGGAGTAAAGCGCTCACGCGGTCCCGTGTGGGGATTCGCGGAGTGAAAACTATCGTCTAGAGGGAGGACGGCAGCAGCAAAACGAGTTCTCCTGGTGGGGGACGAGCATGACCCCGCGACCCCTAAACTCGGCGCGGATCGAGCTAGGGCAAGAGCGCCTCTGTATGCGCGTGCGTGCGTGCATCTATGTTGCGCGCGCGCTCCAAAGACAGAGAGAGAGAGAGAGAGAGAGAAGGAAAGTAAGTAGATGGTTACATACTAACCTAACCGCATAAAGCGCGCCTTCACAGCTGGCAAACTGTCAATCTCATTTTCCTCGATCGCGCACGCGTAACCGTTTTACGGCAAACGTTTGAAATCTCGCAGATTTGGACGAGCGCGTCACGAGTAAGGAAAATATTTGCGCATTATGGAGCTCCTTATTATTCGCTTATTTAAAATTTTAAATACTTTTTTATATTATTAATCAATTGCATAATCAATAATAACAAGCATAAATACACAAATCATAAATATCAAATGGCATTGATAAATACTAATTATGCAAACGTGCCTACAATTTTTATTACCAATAATTTTTTTTCATTATATATTTATAAAGTGATTATTCATACAAATTTTTCTTACTCCAAAGCAACCCCCCACCCACCCTCCCCTTTCATTATTAATTTAATAATTAATTTAATAATTTTCATGATAATTTTTACGATATTGCTGCAACTGTACTTTAAAGAAATGTAATTTTTTTTTTTTTTTTTTTTTTTTTGTTTGTTTGTTTGTTTGTTAATTTTCTCGAATAATATATTTTGATGGATACATTGTTAGCAGTTTAAATACATTAAATATTCCGAAACGGTTTTTACTTTATTTATATTTTGTAAGTAGCTCCTATTATTCTTGAAATGAAATTTCAATTTTTCTCCTTTATTCAAAAATAATAATCAGAGCGTAGAAGTTTTTTGTAAGATTTCATAGTATTATATATGTAACAAAATATTTATCTTACAAATTCATCCTGGAAACAATTATTTCAATTTTCTCTCATTAATAATAAATAATTAATTAGTCTTTTTCGCATTATTAATCATTTATACTTAGATCCTTTTAATATTTGCTTTAGTATCTTGAGAATATTTGTTTATCATATAATCAACAACAATAGCACAAATAGATTATATATTGAATAGTAAATTTTGAAGAAAAAAAAAATCACCTTATATTTCGTCACGCCATTATTTTATTCGTCAGTTTTACTTTCAGTTTGATTTTTCAGTTTGATTATTGAAAGAGTAAACATGTTTTGTTTCTATGAATATTATCTACATTTGAAATTATTTACATATTTATTTATTTTTTTTTAATAATAAATAAGTAGATTTTTTTTTCCGTAACCCATAACATACATGTTAAAATTGCCTTTATTATTATAATTTTTTTACTATCTCATAAATTATCGCTATAATTAATTATGATAATGTTCAAGTTTTGTTGTTTCTTTAAAATAATATAATTTTTCAAGTGAACTAATAATATAAGCGTTGGAATTAAGCAACAACTCGTCTTATCTTACCGGATTTTTTAAACGTTTTTTTTTCTCGCATATTCTTCGCTATATATTACGGGTTAAAAACCAGTTTTATAACAAGAAATTATTTTTCTAATCGATAATTTTGCGAATAGTATGAAATATAAGAAGCTAAAACTGTACATGCAATTGGAATATTTAATTAACCGTCGAATTGTTATTAAAGTTATTGTATAATGATGACAATATTGCCCAAGTTATGTACGAATTTAAAATATTGTCGTAATGGAAATTTTCACAATGGTAAGAGATATTTTGTAATGT